GAATGCTCCCAGATCCCAGGACTGCTCCAAGGCTTTTTATCACCCCCAGGTGATGCTGAGGAGCCAAAAGCCAAAAATACCCTCTGTGGTTTTTTGGGGGGAGAAATCTTGGCTGATATTTTGGATGTAAAATTTCAGAGCCTTCAATCCCTGGCTCAATCACAGCACCGGGAAAAGAAGGAGAATATTTGGAAATATTCCTTCTGCACCAGGGAATATTCATGGAAAACATTCCCAGTGGAGAAATCTCTAAGTTGGAAGTTGATAATTTGGACAGTTTTGTTTTACTTCCCATTTCTTCCTGCCAGTGAAACAACAGAAATAAACAGTGAGGGTTGTTGGTAACCCACCCCAAAAACGGAGCAGCTTTGGGAAAAGCACTCCACAGCTGGGATTGCCCAGGACAAGGATTAATTCCAGCTCCCCAGCCCCATGGCTGCTGCCTGGTGGCTTTTGTGACACCAACACCTTGGAGAGGTCATTTCTACACCTACAGAAGAATCTCCTGGCAAAAGGATTTTCCTGCTGAATTCCACCCCACAAACAAATTCCCCATTGTTTATGAGAAATGGATTGTTCTGGGAAAAAGTTCCTCCACCAGGAGAAAAGCCAGGGAGAAAAGCTTCAAAGTTGTCACAAAATGCCTTTTAAGGTTTGGGTTTGTTTTTTTTTTTTTCCCCACATCAAAATTTTGACATCATCCGTGAGATAATCACAAAAACGGGTGAAAAATCCCAGAAAACATCCAAGATCAAAATCAAAGCTCCCACCAAATGAACGGAGTGAATTCCTGTTAATTCCCTAACGCCCGGGACATTCACGGATTGTTTTCTGGCGGGGCGGGAGGGAAGGGGAGCTCACAGATGGGTGAGAATTCCTTCAGGACATTCCCTGAGTCAGGACATTGCCTCGCACAGGGGCAAATCCCTGGAATTCCCACGGAAATCCGCGCGGGCTCATCCCTGGCTCGGCTCAGCCTGGGATTAACCCGTTCGCACTCATCCCCCTGGAAGCCGGAGCTGGAACGCGCATCCCCGGCACCCAAAGGCGGCCGTGACCCGGCCGGACCCGCTCGGCCTCCCGGGAGCCGCGGGAAACCGGAGCCGCCGCGGCTGCCCCGGGCCCGTCCGGCTCGTGGGCTTTATGAGCTGTCAACGTGTCAGAGCTCCAGTTATCCCGACAGCTGCGGGCCCCGCCGGGCTCCGGGCCCGCCGGGAGGGGGACACAGCCCGCGGCTTCCCGCAGCCGGCCGGGCACGGAACGGAGCGGGAACGGGAAGGGGAACAGGGAGCGCCGGGATGGGGACAGCGAGCGGCACTCGGGGCTCGCCCGCTGCCAGAGAGGGGCAGAGAGAGGGAAAAATAAATCCCCTTGGAGTGTCAAAGGGGGATTGCAGCACAGGAATAGGAGTGGGAACGGGAACAGGAATGGGAATGGGAATAGGATATAGGAACAGGAATTGGATGCAGGAATCGGATATAGGAATAGGAATAGGAATAGGAATAGGGATAGGGATAGGGATAGGAATAGGAATAGGAATAGGAATAGGAATAGGAATAGGAACAGGATGCAGGAATAGGATGCAGGAATAGGATAGGAATAGGATTAGGAACAGGAACAGAAATAGGACTAGGACTAGGACAAGGACCAGGACTAGGGAGGAATAAGATTAGGAATAGGAATAGGAACAGGAATTGGAGGTAGGAATAGGAACGGGAACTGGATGCAGGAAGAAAGCCACCCTGAGCTGTGATCCAGGGGATGAGTGGAACGAGGACCAGATGTGGGGCAGCTGCTCTCCTGTCCCTCTCTGGGGTCACAAACTCCTCCATGCCTCTGCCCCTACCCGACACGTGGAGCTCAGGGATGAGGAAGACAGGCAGATGTTGGCAAAGCCCTTCATGGAATCATGGAATGAGTCATGGGATGAGTCACAAAATGAATAATGGAATGAATCCTCGGAGGTTTGGGTTGGAGGGACCTCAAAGCCCCTCCTGTGCCACCCCTGCCATGGCAGGGACACCTTCCACTGTCCCAGGCTGCTCCAAGCCCCATCCAGCCTGGCCTTGGGCACTGCCAGGGATCCAGGGGCAGCCACAACTTCTCTGGGAATGCTGTGCCAGGGCCTGCCCACCCTCACAGGGAGAAATTTCTTCCAGATATCCCATCTGAACTGTTCCTCTTTCAGTTTAGAGCCATTCCCCCTTGTCCTGTCTCTCCATGCCTCATAAACAACCCGTGCTCTGAGCTGGCCCTGCTGCCTTAGAGCCATTTTACACCCAAAACTCAATTCTTGGCTTAAAAACTCAGTCAAGACAGCAGAGAGCCCCCGAGGTGGGGGAAGATTCCCTGCTGGATGTGCCCATGTGGGTTTGTCTTTGTGTGGGGCTATTTTTAAAATTTTTTTGCACAAGATCTTGGCTGAGTGATGTTTGCAGGTCCCGAGAGGCAGCGGAAGATCAGCCCTGATATCCAGAAAATCAGGTGGTGGGAAGGAGCTGCCCGTGCCAGGCTGCTGGAATGAGAAAGGCAGCAGGAATGTGCCTCGGAGAGCAGCTGCTGCACAGCCCTGGCAGGAGCCTCCTCACCCAGGGCCTGGGAGCAGGGAGGGATTGGGACATCCCAGCCTGGGACAAGGGAAAAGGGCTTTTTAAATTAAATTAATTAACTAATTGGTTGGGGGGTTTTTTTGTTTTGTTTTTGGTTTTGGTTTTTTTTGGCTTGTTCTTCCTCCTTCCGTTCTCCCAGATCCTTGGGAAAGGTTTGTGCTCTCCCTGGCATTTTGGGGCTCTTCCCCTCCTCCTCAGTGTCCTTTGTGCCTCATCCCACAGTGTTCCCTAAACTCTGATCTCCCTCAAAATCCCATTTTTTCCATTATTTACCACAGGAACATCCATTTTCTATCCCATGCTCAGCTTGTGCCCACCTACACAATTAGGGCAAAAACGTGCAAAACAAAACGAGAGAATTCACACATTCCAACCCTGGGTGGCTTCATTCCCTTAATGAGCCATTTTCCCAGGCTCCAAACATCCCTGATCCTCCACGGCCACCAAATCCACTCTTCTGAAATCCCTGGGCCAAGATCAAAGCCAGGCCAGCCTAAGTTGTGCTGGATTTCCTTTTCTAGTCTCCACAGCCATCCTCTAGAGGGACGATGGCTCCAGGAAAATCCAGGATTTCCCAGGAGGAAGCTGCAGGGAGGTGACAGCACCTGCTGCAGTGCTGGGAGTGCTGGACAATTCTTTGAGAAAAATTCTTAACCAGGAGTGGGGGACACCCCATTTCCAGGAGGGGAAAACTCCAAGACCCGAAAACATTGGAGGGGAAAACCCCAAAACTCTAAGGCAGTTCCTGGGTGAGCACATCCTTATCCTGATACACCCAGGCAAACCCAGCCTGGTTTCCTTTGGAAAAGGCCATTTTCCTTTGGAAAAGCCCATTTTCCTTTGGAAAACTCATTCCAGGAGTGTTTCTCCAGCAGGAGAAAGCCCCAGAGAGGCCTTTCCCTGCACCCACAGCGCCCGGGATTCCTGCTGGGGGCATGGACTGTGGGGGTCCCCATTTCACTGCTGTAACCCTCCCAGTCCCCAGTCCCCAATCCCCAGTCCCCAATCCCCAGTCCCCAATCCCTCCCTTTTCCCGAGGGGTTCCATTATCCCTGGATCTGCTGATCCTGGTGCTGTTTGCACACACTGCTACCCCAGCCTTTATGGGGGACACATAAGGGGCTCTGTGTGCCGGTCCCACCAGGACCATTAATCGTGTCCATGTCAGAATTCTCGGCTCCAAACCCTCCCTTCCCGCTCCTCCCCTCTCCTGCTCTCCCTCCCCACCGCCTGCCCTTGTTGTGCTCTCTGGAGATCCAAGGGATAAAAAAAAAAAAAACCAAAACTTGTCTGAAAATTCGCACGCGGAACCTGCAAACGTCGCAAAATCCGATCTGCTCCGTGGGGCCAGGCTGGGAAATGTGGGATTGCTCCAGCCGGGAATAACCCCCCCGGGCAGGCAGAGGGATGGCCTCCAAGAGAAAATGCCAAACTTTGGCTGCCGGTCCCAACGGGGATGCAAACCCTGCAGCTGGTACCGCTGCAGGGGCCAAATCCAGAGGGCCTCCTTGAATCCGTGGGAATGCCGGCGAGTTGGACGGGGCCCGAGAGGCAGAGCTGGGTTTGACCTCGGCTCCCACCTTGGAGCCAGCTCATTGCCAGCTCCTCTCCAAGGGGAGGTGATGCTTTGGGTTTTCCCCATGATCTGTAGCTCTGCGGGGCGCCATCCCAGAGTTATGTAGCTCTTGGTGGTTTTCCTACATTTCCTCAAGATTTTAGGATAATTATTAACCTCCTGACGCATCCCTAAAATGCTGCCAAGCTGTATTTCCAAAAAGAACATTTTGTTTTCCAGCCACAATCTGAGAAGAAAATGGGGCCGAGAAGCCCTTGGGGCTGACCTGGGGCGAGCTCCCGGGACAACTGAACACCCCATTGTACCAGTCAGAAATCCTAATTAATCATCCTTATCAAATTGCAGGAATCCCATGACTGGGTGTGTCCGGTGTGTCCATGCCCAGCTGGAAGTTTCCAGTATAGATTTGCTTTAATTTGATTGTTTGAAGCCCGTCCTAGCAAAGGTTTTTCTTTGTTAAGATGAAGGAAGTGAAGGAGCAGAGAAGGAGCAGCCACATTCCGGGCAGGGAGAGTGGGGTTAGGCTGGGCTGCACAGGGTTAGGCCAGGGAGAGTGGGGTTAGGCCAGGGAGAGTAGGGGTAGACTGGGGTGAGCAGGGTTAGGCCAGGGAGAGTGGGGTTAGGCTGGGATGTGCGGAGTTAGGATGGGGAGCCTGAGGTTAGGCTGGGATGTGAGCGGTTAGGCTGGGGTGCACAGGGTTAGGCTGGGCTGCACAGGATATGCCAGAATGTGCAGGGTTAAGCCGGGGGTGCACAGGGTTACTCCGGGAAGCGCGGGCTTAGACCGGGCCGCACGCGGTTAGGCCGGGCCTTACCTGCACGCGGGCCTCGGTGAGCTTGGTGCGCTGGGCCAGCTCCTCGCGGGTGTAGATGTCGGGGTAGTGGGTCCTCTCGAAGGCCTTCTCCAGCTCCTCCAGCTGCTCCGCCGTGAACGTGGTGCGGCTGCGGCGCTGCTTCCGCTTCAGCGGCAGGTCCGGCTCCGACTCCACGTCCGAGCCCTCGTCCAGGCGGTTCCCTGCGGAGAGGGAGAAACGGGAGGTCAGGAGAGGGGGCTTGGTCCCACGGGGAAAGATATTGGACCCTGTGAGGAGCGCCTGAGGGAGCTGGGGGTGCTCAGCCTGGAGAAAAGGAGACTTGGGGGGGACCTTATCACTCTGCACAGCTCCTGAAAGGTGCCTGTGCTCAGCTGGGGCTGGGCTCTCTTTCCAGGCAGCACCGACAGAACCAGAGCACACAGCCTGCAGCTGCACCAAGGGAAATATAGGGTGGATATCAGGAAAAGTTTTTTACAGAAAGGGTGATTAAGTTCTGGAATGGCTGCCCGGGGAGGGGGTGGAGTCACCATCCCTGGGTGTGTTTAACAAAGCCTGGATGTGGCACTGGGTGCCAGGGTTGAGTTAAGGTGTTGGGGCTGGGTTGGACTCCATGATCTTGGAGGTCTCTTCCAACCCAGTGTTTCTGTGAATTCTGTAAAGACCCCAGCAAAGTCAGCAAAATAAAGCTTGGAATTATGTAGCCATGTAGGAATCTTCCCATGTGGGAATCAGAAAAACAGAAACTTCCACATACACTGAAGGGTTTGATCTGCAGCCTTAGAAAAAGGCTGTACATTAGATTAATGTTAAAATAGATTAATTAGATTAATTTAAAAATAGATTAATTAGCTTAATGTAAATTAGATTGATGCAAAAAGGCTGTGCATTGGATTAATGTAAAAGTACAATACACAGACATTAAGTAGAAAAATCACAAATATCTGTTTCTATAGCTGTAAGAATATGCCTTAAGTGAGAAACTGTATTAATAAGATGATGAGTTTATAATGTAGGAGTGTAGTTATATAGAGTAAACTGAGTTTAGAAGTTATAATAGAATCTATTATATATAGATATATAGAATATATAATACATTATAACTATAGAACTATATTCTATATATTAGAATATAACTGTATATTCTATATATTAGAATATGTGTATACATGTGACAACAGCTGATTAGGCAAAAGTATCTGCAGTGCAGCAAAATTCCATAAAAGTGATAAGTTGGAAAAACAAAATAAACTTTATGACATCTGTCCATTAAAAAAGTTATAGATTTTCTTGTAACAAAGGACTTGTGGCCACTCTTTAGCTATAACCGGCTACTTACTCTCAGAAATCTCACAACCTCTAATGCTCATCTGAGTAATAAATCATTCTTGGCTCAAAAGTGGTCCCATTCCTTCATTAACAGCAGTGATAATAACATTCCAATTTGGGTTGGAAAGGCCTCGAAATCCATCCAGTGCCACCCCCTGCCATGGGCACGGACACCTCCCACCATCCCAGGGCACCTCCAGGGATCCGGGGCAGCCACATCTTCTCTGGGAAATCCATTCCAGGGAGGAATTTCTTCCAAATATCTAAGAAAAGGAGTCCCTCAATTCCACAGTCTTCGGAATCCTGGAATCCCAGTGCCTCAATCCCACAGCCATGGGAATCCTGGAATCCCAGTCCCTGTCTCCTCAGCCATGGGAATCCTGGAATCCCAGTCCCTGTCTCCTCAGCCATGGGAATCCTGGAATCCCAGTCCCTGTCTCCTCAGCCATTGAATCCTGGAATCGTAGACTGGTTTGGGATGGGAGGAACCTTAAATCTCATCCCATTCCACCCCTTCCATGGGCAGGGACCTTTACTATCCCAGGTTGCTCCAAGCCCTGTCCAGCCTGGCCTTGGACACTTCCAGGGGTGAGAATCTCCAGTTTCTCTGTCTCATCAGTCTTCGGAATCCTGGAATCCCAGTGCCTCAATCCCACAGCCATGGGAATCCTGGAATCCCAGTCCCTGTCTCCTCAGCCATGGGAATCCTGGAATCCCAGTCCCTGTCTCCTCAGCCATTGAATCCTGGAATCGTAGACTGGTTTGGGATGGGAGGAACCTTAAATCTCATCCCATTCCACCCCTTCCATGGGCAGGGACCTTTACTATCCCAGGTTGCTCCAAGCCCTGTCCAGCCTGGCCTTGGACACTTCCAGGGGTGAGAATCTCCAGTTTCTCTGTCTCATGGACAGAACATCCACTCTTTTTATGCTGTTTATGGCATTTGCTACCATTATTTTTCCCTACATTGCAAAGAAAACCTTGGGAAATCAAAACTTTTCGCAGAAAAAGGGGAGCCCATAGTCCCTGATTCAAATTGTTACAGAGAAAAGAACTCCCAGTGTCTGTCTTATTTCAAGGAATTTCCATTTTTCCTTGGAAATTCCTGTAACGGAGTTGCCCATTTTGCCCTGCAAAAGACGGAACTGAAATGTTGTCAACAAATGATGTGCTGCCCAATTTTCTCCTGTGTTTTATCAAGGGTTGGGCTTAAAGATTTCAGTATTTTAAACTTAGGAAGGAAAAGAGGAACAATTGGGAATTTTTACAGATGAAAAAACCCTTCCAGTTTGGCTTCGCTGGAAGTTGGGCTGCCCACAGGAGAAAACTCAGCTCTTCAACTCCCAAATTTCCTATGGAATTCATATTCCATCCAGTCCTTTCCCAATGTTTAATCAGTCACTTATTCCTCCACCTGGACTTTTCCCTTTCCCTTCTCCCTGCCTTGATCCCAGCACCAGGTGCGGCCTCCTGAGGCTCTGGTGAACCCAGCTGGAATAAATAAACCCAGTTTTGCCCCATGTTTTTGGCTGGAGATCAAGCAGAAGGCCCCACATGGATATCCCTCAGGTTCTCAGCAGCTTTTGGAGGAGCTGGAACTCCAACGTTGTCTCTCCGGGAGCAATCCTGGGCTCCAGAGATGTTCCATGTGTGGTTATGGGTTCCCTGTGGGGTGCAGATGTTGATTTTGGAGGGTCTCAGCCAGGCCACAAAATGTGTGCCCTTCTCCAGGGCAGCAGAGAAGGGACAACGTGACACGGGAGACCTCTGAGAGGGGAGAGCTCTGGCTCTGCCACCTCTTCCTTCTTTCCCAAGAAAAGAGAATTCACTGGGCTAATTGATTTTTTCCCTTCCCGAGCCTGGCTGTTGTTTTCCACAGGAGCCTCCCAGCCTCACTGAGAGCCAGAACCAAATCGTGCTCACAGCAAAGTCCTTTTTCTTTCAGGCGAACCTTTGCTAATTTAGGATTAAAGCAGGGTTTACATAAACTCGGCTTGACCATAAAGTTCCCTGAAGTCTCTAACCATGTTTTCCAGCCTATTTTTTTCCCCCTTTTTTGTTCGGCTCCTATATTATCATCACCCAAAAATCTGCTTTTTTTCTTGGCAGCGCTGGGAGCTGCAGCTGTGGCTCTCGACAGCTGCTGGGGGGTTTGAGGGGTGGGAGGCACAGATCCCCCCGGAGCCGCCTCGTTTGTACTGAGATCACCACAAAAAGCCTCTGCATTCCTGACAAAATTCCTTTTATGTCCCGGGGCTTGTGGGACCTCAGAGAAGGTGCCGGATCCAGGGGAGTTCTGCTCCAGGCGTTGTTTTTGGAGGAAAACACATCCCTTGGAGAGGTTTTCCCTCCTTCAGGGTCTGACATCCCGTTAAATGCCTTAAACAAGTTCAGCTTTTAGATCCAAACCCTTCAGAAATTCAGAAATTTCTTCCCCCAAAATCAGTGAGAAATTCCCTGACAACTTCAGAGGGGCAGCAACTGCCCCACATTTTAAAGATCCTAAAGAAAAAATCCTAAAAAATTTCCAAGTTCTCCCACGCGTCACCAGAATTTGTTTCTAAATGAGATTTTTGGGATTTGTCCACTCCCAGGGAAGGTCTGGGGTCTCCAGGAGAAGGAACATCTGTGCTTGGGAACAGCAGGGCTGCACATCTGGGCCCCAGATGATGCGGGGCAGGTAGGAGCCCGCACATCTGGGCCTTGGAGGAGCAAAGGCACATCTGGAAAGCTCCAGCACATTCCCTGAAGCTCCTGCTCCATCATGAATGAGCTTGGCTGCTCCTCCCATCCTGCTCCTGGGCTCCAGAGCTCCCAGGGGCAGGGATAACCTCTTGGGAAAGGATCTCTGCCAAATTCCACCTGGGAAGGGAACCCCCCCCAGCTCCTGTTAAAGGATCCCGGATTTGTCCATGAGGTTCCAGGAGAGGCCAAGGGATTGTCACCCTCTGTCCCCACCGTGGTGCTGATTCCAGGGTGAAAAGGGTGGAGATAACTGATACCAAGATCAGGAAAAGCCTCTCCATTCCCAAGCTTCCCTGGCTCCTGCCAGGCATTCTCCCCCTTTTCCAGCCGTGCCAGAACCGGCGGGAGCCACCCCCCCACCCCAGTGACCCCGGGGGCCGGGAAGGGCTGGGAACAGCAGCCACAGCTCCCGGTGCCAAATGCCCGGCTCCAAGAGCCCGACCTCAAAGCTGGAACCGAGGAAAACTCCCAGGGAATGCCTGGGAGCAGCTGCTCCCAGCCGGAGCAGCTGCTGCTGTCAGGCAGGGATGCGGGGAAGGACAGGGAATGCTTTCCAGCTGGGACGGGCTCCTGGCACATCCAGCACGCCCCGCGAGCAGCTCCCTCACCTCCCAGCCCCACAGATCGTTCCCATTCCCAACCAGCTGCAATATCCCAGACCATCCATTCCCATGTTCTCCCCAAAGCTCCTGTGCCACTGGTTTTCCAAAGCTGTGGAGAATCCCAGGCTGGGGATTCATCCCAAACTCAAACCCTTCATTTTTTTGCAACCCATCCCGTGTGAGCAGTGGCTACCAGCAGTGGGAGCAGGGGGACGCCCAAATTTTTCACTCAAATTTCCAGGGATTTTTGCTGCAGGAATTACCTGGTGGTGTTTTAGCCTTGCTCAGCCTGCAAAGGGGAAGGTGCAGAAATTTCCAGCAGCACCTCCCTAGCTGGAAAGGATGAAGGATGGGAAGCAGCGGGCTGGCCGGCAGCAGCTCCACTGGGAGCTCATCCCGGGAAAGATTGACAGGAAAAGGAGAGCCGGGAGTGAGAGGAGGGGAAAACCTCCCAGCAGGACAAGGCAGGAAACAGGGAAAACTAAAAGAAAAAGGGAAAACTGAAGGGAAAAGGGAAAACTGAAGAG